TCCTCTGACCTGTTTGCTGCATCAGGCATGAAAATATCCAAACATCTTCAGTGAATTCACTGAGTTTCTCTGCTGTGGTCTTGTTGTCCCTAAGAGATCCCTTGCTAGTTCCTTAGCAGTCTTTCATCTTTCAGTGGTTTTACAAAAATTACTGTCAGCCTGAGCATCCTTTAGCAGGTTGTCTTAACTTTTTTTTTTTTTTTTAATGCTCTTAGTTTCCTCTCCATATTTGATCTGCTGTGATACAGGCTTTCCTGTTCTCCCCATTTGGACAAGCCTTCTGCTTTCTAAATGGTGATCTTTTCCCTATAATAGTCTTGGTTACTATTCTACTGATAAACATCAGGCTCGATATCTAACCATTCTATGATTCTATGAAAATGTCTATTTCTTTTGGAATGTAGGCTTTTAACACAGGTTTTGTTGAATTTTATGTTTGTTTTTCTAAACAGCCCCCCGAAATTATGTAGGTTTCTTCCTTCTGGGACTGCTTCTCTGTCCCACAACACCACTGAGTCTAACTCTACTGTGATTGCCAGTACAGGGCTCCCTCCACCAAAACCTGCTTGAACTAGGACCTGTGCAGCACTAAAGATCAAATGTAGAACAGCATCTTGTGTTGTGGATTTGTTTGCAGGACTAATTATTCTAGGAAGCAGGCATTTGTTGCATATGGACATTATTCTAATTCTGCTGCAGCATCGCATCCTTATAAAGGCAACCAAAATCTCCTGCTATTGCTGCCTGCTTTCAGCTTCCTCCTCTCACTTCACATTTTCTGAAGACTGTTGTCATCACGATGACGAGTTTGGTAGTGCATTCCTAGTACTATATTTTTATTATTAGAGTACGGGATGTCTGCCTACAAGAACTCTGTAGTGCTTCTTTAGGCATAATATTTTTATGCTGTTGCAAGTTATACAGTCCTTCATGCACAGTGCCACTCCTCCACCTGTGCATCCCTACGCTATCACTACCATAAAGTTGGTAGTGCTGCAACACAGGCTCCCATTGATTTTCCTCTCTCCTGCAGGTCTCTGAGCTTCCACTTACACCAGGGTTGCTGTCTCACGCCAAGCCTGCCAACTCCCCTGTCACATTTTTGGCTTTGAGCATCAGTGCAGAATTACATGTAAGATTTGCTTTTAAACAGTCACTCAAGATAGCATATGCCAGCCAACTGGATTTGTGGGCAGTTGGATTTGCCTTCCCTAGTTATTGCAGTTGGGTTTTATTTCCCTCCTGGCCTCATCAGAGGTGCACGGGATGTGAGTTCACTGCCCTCGCAGGTCTCATCAGTCCAGCACATTTCATGTTCCATGCCCATCAGCTCCCCTGTTGCTTCTAATTAAATACTTCCCTGCAAACCTTTCAGTCTGTAGTACCAGCAGCAGCCTGGATCCACTCTGGGCGTGGTGCAGTCTCTCACTCCTGTATCACTTGCCTTTATCCCAAAAGATCCCTCAGTTCCTTGTGTACCTAAAATTCTCCTCTCTGTTGCCTCATCCATGCACTGAAACATGGGGTCTGACCTGTGCTTCTCTCTTGCCTCGTAGCTGAGCCCCAAAGATCCCACTTTCATCCCTGGCGCCCACAATGACCAGAGCCACAACCAGCTCCTCTCCTGCACCCCTGAGAAATCTGCACAGAATTCTCACAAGGTCTGCTCCTGCCCTGCAAACCCACCCAAACTCTACTTCTAATCTACTTACACAAGAGTTATTTCAGAAAAGCCTCCCTTTTTCTTGCTCAGCTGATGTGCTTTCTCTCTCCTGCCAAGGTGATTGTCAGAGCCTTGGGACATGCATCAGCTGCTTCTATTTGTTAGCTTCCACCAGGGAAATTCATATACGGAAAAAATCTCCCGCTAGAGAGTTTCCGTCAGAGAAGTCCTGAAGTACCACTTAAGAGAGATTCCTATTTCAGATTGTCCCTTTCTCTCCTTTTTTTTTTCTTTTTTTTTTTTTTCTCAGAGGACTGTTAGGCCTCACCACCAATCTCCCTTCTTTTGGGGGACCCTACAGGTCCAGTTTCTCAACCAAAACCCACCCTATTGGTTCCTGACCCAGAAGACTGTTGGGACACTCTTGCTGAAAACAAAGTTTATTGCCTGTCCTTAGATATGTCATTGTTTCTGTTTATCTAGGAGACATCTCTTAGCCTTAGCTGGCTAATAAACAGCTCTTGGCTTCAAGGATGGGTAAAATCATCCCTTTCTCCTCTGTGGTTGCTTGAGGCAGTCCTCTGTGAAACACATCTTTCACTGCACCTTCCTTTCTGCATTCATCTGTGTGTTAAAACAAAGTAATAGGAGCATCTACATATGATAATTACATGAGTCATTCCCTCGACTGAGGGCAGGCACTAAGGTGGTGGTTAATAGCTTTCAGTTGCCTGGTCTCCAGCCTCTCTCTCTTAGACATCCCGTAACAGCTTGAAAGTTTTGTTTGGATTATTTGGAGAGGAGCTTGAGCACTGGCTTTCTTGCCAGGTCCAAGGATGCTGAGTTTTCTCAATTACACATGCGCATCCAGTTTCCCAAAGCTCTTTAGCTGAAAGGAGAAATGAGCACAAAATAGCTTTAATGGTGGTTGTTAGCTAGACAACCTCATATGAAGAGCCTGAGCAAAGTGCCTCAGCCTCTGTGCTTGTAGTGCTCTCCCCAGGTGCAGGGACCCAAGGGCTTTTCATCAACTGAATTTTCATTGCCCTAACCCTACCCTTCAGGAGACAGCGTTGGGCCACAGGCCAGCACTCATAATGCTCAGTGGGGCTTTGAATTTTGTCCATGCTCCAAGTCCTTCATCCTCATTTGACTCCCCTAATTCACGGGTTTCACACTCAACAGGAATGCTTCAACAGGTGGCAGATCTCTTCACTGATATTTTCTTGTGTTTTGGGGTTTCTAAAGGCAACGATGCTTGGGCCATAAGAAAATGCAGTCCAAAAGGCTCTTCCCTTTGCAGTATGTTGGGTTTGTGATGTTTCCCTGCAAAATGGGGAGATCAGATTTAATCAGGAGAAAAGCTGGTCCTTGATCCCACACAGAAGATGTGTATGTCAGACAATCACTTTGCACAGAAAACCAAAAACATTCAAAACTCCTCTGACTGCAGAAGTTTTGTTCTCAGGAAGTGTACCTTGTTTCTCCCCTCCATGAGAGGATCTCAAATGAGGAGGAGATTTCCTTTAGAAGCACGTGTTTACTGAGTCTGGGGCATTGCTGAGCCCCAATATCCACTTTGCCCACTTCCAGTCTTCAGCACTCCTGAGCTCAATAGATATTATTATCTTTACTTTCTGGAGGGATAATTTCAGGCACTGCAGGGATGGGTATGACATTAGTGTGAGCAAATGTCCCTTGTCCCCAAGCCACCACGCTCCCATCTTGGAAGAGGGCGGGGTGTAAGTCTTGGTCCTTGGGAGCCCAGCCTGGAGGTCGTGCTTCCCACGCCCCCTGTCATGGTGGAGCCAGATAAAAGGCAGCTACTGGGGCACATCTGGTTGCTATATTAAGGGATCCAGATGGACTCTGAGACACCACCCTAAAGACACCATGGGGTTCTCTGGACACAGCTTAGGCTCTCACGCCACGTCTTGAGTTCAAAAATTAGATCCCATTTACAGCAAACTGGAAATACTGCATCAGGTAACTGGGAGTCCAGAGCACCCAAACCTAGAGCCCACTTTTCTCCCTAGGGAGACTCCACCCGTGCAAATAATTTCAAACTGAAGCTAGTGAGGTCCAGAATAAGAGATACAATGCAGTCATGTACTCTCAACCCGTTATCACTCCCACTGGGCCAAATTAAAAGATTATTTTTCATGCATTTAGAAATGCCATGTAATGCTGGCTTTTAGGCTAAAATTTTCCATGCTCCATCTCTAGAATATGTTGGCCAATGCAGAGAGGAAATTGGTCCCACTATTAAGCAACAATACTGAAACCTTCCTTTCAAAATACTACTAGCTGCAGGTCAACTGAGAGAAGAAATCAGGAGTACAGCAAGGAAATAAACCCAATAGAGAAAAAAAAATTATTATTTAGAGTGTTTTAGTGATGAGTGGTTTTGATTTGATTGAATTATAGCCTCATAGGAGGAAAAATGTCACTCTCTGTGAACACAGCCCATTTTCTCACAGGCCATTTTCATTAGGGCTGCAAATGTGGGCTGTCCTGGAAGCTGCAGTGCGTGTAAATGACTGTCTAATGCAAAGCAGCTGAGCATAAAAAAGTTGAGAAAGTGGTAAATGAAGTAAAGGCCCCACAAAAAGAGCTGTATAAAGCCATCAGAAACTTACAGGAAAGAAGAAGTACAGCGTAAGGAGGAGAGAGTTAAAAAGGAGCCATGCATAACTAGCACAGTATTTATGCAATGTTTAAGGTCAAAATATCCTTAATTTATACATTCTGATGTATATCAATATACCTCTGGTATTGCTCAGGAAAGCTCAGTGACATGCTGCCAACAACATAGCAGAAAAATTTCAGTAGTTCCAAAAGGCAAATTCAGTTCTTTTGGCTTTTCATGTCAATTTGAAATGTAGACTTACCAGTGGATTGCGATTTCTTTTCTGATCAGGTTTTACTGTTTCCATGGCAGGTGACTGGGGACTCAAAACCTCCCTGCTACAAAATGGCTGCCAGCAAGCTGGCTTGTTTTGCAGAAAGGAGATCAGAGAATTGCCATTAAAACACACACATAGCACTCACCCTTAAAAGGCAGCACTTTCATAGGTTGAGATACCAACCAGCTGCGGTAATACTGAAACAGCTTAGAGATGATTTGGGGCTTTACACTTTGAGATGCATATTTAATGGGACATCACAAGTGATTACTCGTTAACAAACCTTTGCTTTCCACTGCCATCCGTATCTTGCAATTTCTGCCCTCAGCGAAATAGTCCTGAATAGCTGAACTCTCTGCCCAGCCTGTAACCCAGCACTCACACCACTTCTTTTTACTTTGACAGAAAGACGGGGAGCCTGGCTCTGGACTATGAATATTTCCAAGATGGCTCTAGACAGCAACTTCACCAACAGCTCTTTTGACTGTACAATTGATGGCTTCAAGCAAGTCATTTATCCCATCATGTATCTCTCTATCTTCTTCCTGGGTGCTATTGGAAATGGCCTCTCAATTTTTGTTTTCCTCCAGCCTTCACAGAGGAAGACTTCAGTAAACATTTACATGCAGAACTTGGCTGTTTCAGACCTCATGTTTGTAAGCACTCTGCCTTTTCGGGCCACATATTTCCTGTTGGGATCACATTGGATATTTGGTGATGTTGCCTGCAGGATCATGACTTACAGCTTGTACGTGAACATGTACTGCAGCATTTATTTTCTCACTGTGCTCAGCGTGGTTCGTTTCACGGCCATTGTCTACCCATTTAAACCGTGGAAAGTAACCAACATGAAATATGCCAGGATAACATGCGCAGCCATATGGGTCTTCGTACTGGCAGCCTCCAGCCCTCTGTTGAGCAAGGAAATTGCTGGGTACAGCAACCCAGCCAAGTGCTTGGACCTCCACCCCTCCAGCATGCACAGACTCCGCATGATGAACAGCTTTGTCCTCGTCGTGGGCTTCATTCTGCCATTTTGCACAATTATTGTCTGCTATGTCTTTTCAATCAAAGCTTTGCTCAAGTCCAGGTCTCCGCAGTGCAAGAAGGCAGTCTGTCACAAGAAGGCACTGTCAACCATCATCATCACTCTCATCCTCTTCCTCCTCTGTTTCCTGCCATATCACACACTGCGAACTGTCCACCTGATGCACAGCAGCTGCAGCCCAGCCAACCTGCCCATGCACAAAGCACTGGTGGTCACTCTCTGTCTTGCTGCCATGAACAGCTGCCTCGATCCCATCCTCTATTACTTCGCTGCTGAAAATTTCAAAGCAAGAATTAGAAGTTTGTACCGCAGGTAGCTGATGCAGAATTGCAAAATGCTATTTATACAGTCCCACTGGTCCATGCTATTCAATGGCAGAGGCTGTGTGGTGCTAGCCAGCCTGCAGTCATGCTGCTCAGTGCCAGGCACCTCTAGAGTAAAAGTGTTTTGGAGAGAGCTCGTTGGGGATGGCCAAAACTGAGGCAGGATGATCAGAAGTCAGGTGCCTGGGTTTGATCCCTGGTCCTCTTCTGTTTAACAGTGTTGATACACTTCTAGTGTTCATCCTCCCCAGGACAATGGATTGAAAGGATTGATGTTGCTACTGGAGTCCATTTATTTCATTTCACAATATTCAACCAGTGACTTGAAGGGAAACTGCTCACCTGGCCACCTCAGTGTCTGTGTCTGAACCTCTCTGTGCTCCATTCCCCTGTGTGCACAGAGGTGCATGGTGCAGAGGCTGTGATACCCAACAGCTTTATAGCACCCTGTCAGTTCCCTTTGCAAACACCAGCCAAAGGTTTGCACACAACAGAAATGTAAAACACCACTGATACTTTCTGCTGAGGCTTACAAAGCAGGCAGAGACCAACAGGACCCAGCATCAGCTCAGGCTGTTTAGAAAGCATTAACATTTCTAAATTTTCTACTCTGAGGAGGCCACCAAGGTATTTTGCTTAATATTTCACTGTTTGTCAAGTGAGATAATGATTTCAAGCAAATGGCACCAGCATGGAGTGCTATGGGTAAGATGATGGCTGGCAGTGAGGGTGGGATGCGGGGCCGCACCCCGCAGCTCTTTGCCCATGCGCTGATTGTTTTGAGGACATTGTGACACTTGTTTTTATGCTCAGTGTTGCAAGTGCTTTTCTGAAAGCCAAGGTGAGGCAGCTCAGTCCCCATGCAGGGATCCAGAGACAAATTTTTAAAAATATTTTGGTGCAAACAGATAGCCAAGGAGTGGTTTCCTCTGCATAGGTCAACCAGTCTGACAGTGACCTCCTGCCAAAGGCATCCCTAGTCCCTCACCTCCTGCCTGCTCTCAGGGGGAAACTGGTCCCTTTTTTCATAGGTTTAACTTCTGGTTGCTTTGGACTCCCTGACATCAAACACAGCAATGCAATGGGGAAGCACTAAGTCAGAAACAGGAGGAAAGCCAGGTGGCAGAGGAGGAGAAGGGCTGTTTTAGAAAGCAATGGGGAGCAACACCTATGTGTACTTTGGAAAATCTCACCAAATTGCTGCCCGCATTTTTAAGTCTCTGAATATTTTCTAAAATACATTTCCTAAAAATCAGACTGCTTGCAATTAAATGAAAACAGGCTCCAAACTCAGTTTGACCACATTTAGATTTTGTTTTTATTTACCTCATTTTTTAATAAAAAAGACAGGAAGTTTTGTCATATTTTCCAGGAAAGCAGGCTGTCCCATATGAAAACTAACAAAAATGCTGAAAGCCTTCCCTCCCTGTGAAATCAACCCAAAAGAAGGTTTCTGTTAGTGAAGATACTATCTCAATGCTCTGAACTTTTTTGGAGAAAGCACTCCATAAACCGAACATCATTGCTCCCAAATAAAAATAACTGCAGCTAGCTATTTTCAGCTCTCTCTGAACTATGCAGAAAACAGTTTCTGATCAGGTGGAAAAGTACTTGGCAAATCACTGGGAAAGTCACATTTTTCTTGGCTATCTTGGGTTATGTTCAATTGCAGAGTCAATCTATTTCAGTCACTTTATGCTCCCTTTGGTGTATGCACAGTTTTATCTTATGTCTTTACTAAAGTTCATGCTCCAAATCCTTATTTCAATAACTGAGCGGCATACCTGAGAGCTGACCATGACGCCGTGTGAACTCCTGCGGTGCTTGGTCCCATGCTATTGAAGGACAAGAGAATATTTTCACTGGTTTGCCATGGGAATGGGATGGGGACAGTAGCCTGTGCAGAGAGATAGCAGACAAATAATTGGAAGGAAAGGAGCACAGTATTTCTCTGTGGTTTTCCCCCGTCAGGAGTAGAGCTGAGCAGGGACAAATGTCAATCTTGGAACCTCATGGGATACTGTACACATTAATACTTCAAGAGAATGGAAAAAATTAGCCACAGTCTAATCTCACTAATGTTTTTGTGTCTGTATCTGTCTAATATGCCGTATTATTAGACAATTTTGCATTTAGAGGAAATATGTATCTCACTTATGAGGTCACTTTTTTTGTTTTGTATTGACCATGCTACAACTTTGTTAGCAATTGAATTAACTGTCAAACCTGTGTTTTAATAAACTAGATTTACTAGTTGCTGAAGATATGTTTTTTATCGATTGCAGAGCTAACAAGAAATCTCCTCAGAGCACAGGGGGAGAAAGACCAACAGATATAGAGCTTCTGTAAGTGGGACATCATTTCACAAGAGATAAATGTCTTTGGAGGTGTGGGAGCATCCTGCTGCCTTCTTCACTTCACCAGAAAAATAGTGGGGAACATCAGTCAAAAGCTGGGGTGCAGATAAAGGAACAGATTTTTTTAAATCATTATTTACTTGCAAAAGGATTCAAGACCATCCTTGTTAGGGATCCTCACATGCAACTTTAACACCACTTGCATAACATGCCATGTTCCCATTTACTGCCATTTCTCCATTTGGCATCCTTGAATGTTTCTACTCATGGAGCTGAAGACCAGGGTTCTTTGCTGTGGAAGTATAGTAAAAAATGTAGTTAAAAAAAAAGACAACATATTTATTCTGAAAAATAAAGCTCTTGACAGTTAAATTACTAGCAATGCCTCTAGGTCCCTCAAGGGACTACCTACCCCTTAAAAAGTATTTTGCTATGTTTCCTCAGTTTTTCAGGAGACAAAATCTAAGAATAGCTACGTGCATAGAAAGTTAAATCAACAGTAAACTTTTGAGCTTGAAGGAGATGTAAGAACAGGAAATGCAGTCTTTAAGTGACTGGCACCCCTAAGCCACAGCAAACGTTCTAGCTTCATATATGTTTTCCTGTCATTCAGGGAAGCCCTAGTTTTTCTAGACAAAGGTAATTTTTCAGTCCAAAGCTACACCAGAGACATAGACAGATTTTCTAAAGCAATCTCACTGCAGCCTGAACCACTTGACCCTCAGCACAAGGAAATCCCACTCTTCACATTTGTGTTTTAGCTCTGATTCAGGCCCACGTGTGGCTATGTTTGCCTGATGGAGTGGTGTCACAGCAGGCAGGGGAGCATCACATTTTTATTTTGAGCAATGCAATATCCCATTCATTTTCATGATATATCCTCTGCCTTCCTCAACATACATCCTGTTGCCATAGCTTATATTTTGCTTTAGCTCCAAAAAGTGTTTGGACAAAGGGGTGCATGTTCTGCTGCTCAGCATCTCCTTCCGATGTGCACATTCCTCTATGCTATGACACCATGTTGTGCTGGCAGCAGAGAAGGCATTGAACTTTTCCCCGTGTCTTAGGGCTGTTGATGCTTCTCTTGGTCCTTTGGGATGCACGAGATAGAAATGACCTGCTGCCCCTCTAGCTGACAGGAGCGGAAATAAGACCCATCCAAAACAACCAAGTGTAATCGCAGTTAGGAAGAGTCAGATGTTGTTTCAACAGTGACACCACCCCTGGGCTAATGTTTTGATTTCCTGCATCATATTGGAGCCACTTTAAATGACGGCCTATTTAAAAGACAGTGTAAATGAAGTGCAAGTGCATATTCCCTGAGAGAGTCCAGTATTGTTCAAGGCGCTTCAGCTTTCTGGCAAATGCTGACCGTGACCTGACAGGGGACATGACTGTCCCTGCGTGGCTATGCAGTCCTATACCTCTCACACAATTGTGCTGTGTATATACAGGAATCTTTCTGGACATCTGCAAAGACAAGCAATATATTTAATTGCATGCAGCTGATGTTATGTAGTTACATCTGTTTGTCCACCAGTCAACAGGTTATGGAGGCCAAAGAAATTAAATAGCTTCCTTTGTCCCAAATTCCCTTTTTGCCTTTTAGAAAAACTGTCCAGATTTCCACCACCACTCCTCCTCCTTTTGATTTTACAGCTGAAAGGATAAAGCTGCCTAACGTGAGGGCCAAAGCCCAGTCACTGAAGTCACATTCCAAAATTTGAACCTTTATTTCTGATGCAGAGAAATAAAGCTCTGGACCTTGGTTTACCACCCATATTGCCTTATGTAGGGTTTGAATGCTTGAAGTGGCAGCTGGCAGGTTTGCTCCTCAGGTTTGCTGTCTTCATTTCCAGGTGTTGAGATGCTGAGCATGTTAACTGTTGGATGATATTATGTCTTCTTCTGAACAGTTGCGGTAGATGCAACTGGGGATGATTCACTCAGAATGGAGCTGTGTTTCATAACATAAAAAATTTTGAGGAAGGAAATCCCTAAAAGGGCATCTAACGTTATTGACAGATTTCAATTCTGGAGGCAGGGAGGAGACTGAGTGTCTCTGGCAGGCCAGCTCCAGGCCCCTTCTGAGGTCCAGACCAAAAAGCCCTCCACAGCAGAAAAATCCCTGCTTGCGCTTGGTTTCTCCTTGCAACTAGTCTCCCACCAGAGTTTCTGGACATTTAAGGGTGCTTTGCTCCTTGCTGAGATACCCCTTGCCTGCTGCAAGTTAACTTTATTTTTTTCTTGGTGGCTACAAGGACAAACAATCCAGAAAGAATGGGAAAAATAATCCTGCTCAAGAGCCATCATATATCTTCTGAAGGCCTTTATTACTGCAGCTGGAGCAGTCTTTCTGGTGATCCCTCACCACTAAAAGAGGTGTCAAGAATGTGAGTATGCTCTAAAAAACAGTGCTCTCAGATTGGTGCTTTTTTTTTTAATTTATTTTTTTTAATTATGAATCTTACTGAACCTAGCCACTGAAGACACTGAAGCATGGACAGTTCCCTTTATAAAGCTGCCAGCAGCAGCACAGGCACACCAGAAATGGAGGTGGTGTGTGGAGGGCACAGCTCAGTGCTTCTAGACCAGCCTTTCATAGACACACAGTCACTTGGGCCGTCTGTGGACCC